GGATTTAGAACTAAAATATCTGCAGTGAGACTGGATTTAGAACTAAAATATCTGCAGTGTGACTGGAATTAGAACTAAAATATCTGCAGTCAGATTGGATTTAGAACTAAAATATCTGCTGTGAGACTGGATTTAGAACTAAAATATCTGCAGTGAGACTGGATTTAGAACTAAAATAATTGCAGTTAGATTAGATTTAGAATTTAAGTATGTGAAGTCACACTGGATTTATAACTTATACAGATGACATCAGATTGGGTTTTAAGAAAGTGCAACATATGACAAAGGAACCATCTATGGCGCCATATGTCAAGTAACTACAGTGGAGTACTATAAACTACCAAATGAATAAAATTCTTACTTTAAATAGTGTCCTTTTATGCTTGAGGAATCCAAGCCAACCCAGCCATTTGAAACGAATTCCCAGATCTAAACTTAAGATGAGGAGACACAACATTTCTATAGACCCATGGACCTGATGCATGAAAAAAAAAACATTATCACTATGATTATATCCTGACATGAATCAATAAAGGAAGTATAACCTAAAGAGATTTTAAAGTCAATAAAATGTTGCAGACATTTAAACAAAATAAGTCATTCTCACAATTCTCCCAAACCAAATATTTTTATATCTCCATTCAGTCGTGTATCTTTTAACTACCAACATAACCTATGTTTTTTATAATACTTATCCAGTTGTGTCAATATTTTATATATTTTTTTAAACACTACTGACCCCAACAGGCATCTCCAGGTACTGGACAGCTGGCCTCTCACAGGCTGCGAGCAGCATCACGGCTACAGCAGCAAACAGGTCCAGGGAGTAGAACCAGTGGTTGTGGGCCACCTGATAAGCTGGCAGAGCTTCATGGCTTTGTGGGTGGGTGTAGAATTTATCATTGTTATGGCCCTCCTATAGGACAGAAGATTTGAATAATTTTATGATAGAAAAAAAGACAAATGGTCATGATAGAAATTGACAAAGAATGTCATAAAAATAAGAAGAAATATGTCCTTTATGCAATATTAGATATTTGAGATTCATCTACCGTTTTTTCCTCAATAAATTTGAATATATTCAGTCAGAAGAAAACCTGGATCTTGATCCATGTATAAATGTAACAGCTGAATGCACTGACTACTGTAAACAATTTATTTTAGGTTTTTGTTTATTTTTCTGCCAGTAATATGATAACATAAAAAAAATGTGTTGCAGTTTATCAACTCTGCTATGCCCTTTGAAAGTAAAATAAATAGGCCAGAACAAAATCCTAAAAATTTGATCAGGACAAGCTACAACACTGACCAACTGTTCCACAAACCTGTAAATATATGGCAGCCTCTTGATAGTTTAAACTCCACTGTTTCCTTCTGTTGTGTTCTCGAAGTTGCCGGCTGAAGCATGCCTGAGGGTGAGGAATGTCTTGCCCCATGTTGCCCACCTCATTTGCAATGTCCAATTCTGGATCATCTACGGGTTCATAAAACATGTGCAAATTACCAAATGAAACAAAAACTATTCACAGATAACATGAAACAAATATTTAATAACCATTTAAAAATTAGGTACGATAAAAGTGAAAACAAAATTTTTTTTATTTAAAACCTTTTATTTATGTTCAGTTTCAAATTTCACATTAAGTATTTATATTTTTTCCATAAAAAAATGAAGTTGATCATTTCAATTCCTGCACTCCTGCAGGCATCCTGACCAGCTTGTTATCAACAATTGACCTAGAATCACTGTTGATTAAATTCCTTCAACCCTGAAGTTTAAATCACAAGCATTATATTATCAGAAAATCTTTGTTGATAGTAAAATTTTAAAAGCCATAGCATGACAAATCTCCTTCAAGACTTTTTAAAGCATGTATTCAACCCCCCAAAAAAACAAAAACACGCAGGAAAATGCAAAGCAATATTTGTCTTTATTAAGAGATTACTAAGTAAGTTTATACTTAATCTATTGAATTTATTATTCAGCTAATTTATAAACTTTAAATATATTAGTAAACCTAAAATAAATTGACCAACCTAATACAATTTCAGAAAGCTCAACCCATTCTTCCACAATTTTAGTCTTCATTCCATAGGATGTGTTAAAAATTAAACACTAGAACATGTACAGATATAATCCAAATGGATTTAAAATTAACCTAGAATTCTCTGAGAAATTAATACAAAATTTTATAAACGGACAGACACATTAAATTGTTTTGTTTTTTAAATCTATTGCACTGACTGATTCATCTCTTCTGAAAAATACAACAAATTATATATATCCATATGTCCAGTTTGTCAAGATGTTTAATACTGTCTTTTTTTGTCTATAGAAATATAATCCCTATCCTTCTTAAAATAAGGCATAGCACTAGATTTTACTAGCGAGAAGAAAATCAAGAAAACACAAGTAAAACTATATGATGAACAGAAAAATTCTTTGTAAAATTTGTCCATGACTTATACACATATAATGAATCATTTTAGAAAAGATATAAGACACAGGTGAATCCAAAGATGTACACATTTGTCTTTTATGACAGTGCATTCAGCTTTCTTAAAACCAGACTCAAAAACAAGCCAATTAGGTCAAAGTCTGGCCCATCAATTTAATATCACAAGTGTTATCACCACTTATCATATGACCAATAAATTTTACTAGTGACATCACACATTATCTATAAGATAGCCCAATGTCTTTTCAAATGGGATTTAAATTAACAACGTTTAAAACTGAGAACACATTAATAAGGAAATAAATCTTACATACTAATAAAATGATTTTAAAAATTACTAGCTTTGCATACATTATATATTAATCCCTTCGTATTTATCATCATACAACTTAGGGAATATATTTTTTTTTAAAATTAAGTATGGCTGCCTGGATAAAGTAATATTTAATTTTCAAATAACAAGCAAATTTTATTTTGTTAGTTCCACAAGACTGTCTCACTTAACAATTCATTCAGCATTACCATGTTATGACTGGTATTTTATTTTAAATTAGTACATATAGACTTATGCTCAGTTCCCACTATCAAATTTTCATCAAATTTCCTTTTGAAAGCACTATTTTGTGTTACAACATAGTGCGTTCAAAAGCAATTTTACGACAATTAATTGATTGTGTGAACTGAGCATTAAGATTCACTCTTAATCCTTTTTAAATGTAACAATTTAAAAATGAGTCATGAGATGATAAGTTTTAAATATTTAACATTCCTAGAGAAATAAAATTGGTAATTTAAAAAAAAAACAAGGCCTATATTTAAAATTTGTAAACTTTTTAAGTAATCACCACTGCAAATACAGCAGTTTGGCCAAGGCCTTGGCTTACAGACAGACTATAGACATCCTTTAAATAAAAAAAAGTCAAAAACAAACTAGCAAGTAACCAACAATAATGAATTATTAATCTTGTTAGAGTATTTCTGAGTTACAAGGATAAGAGACTGAACCAATCTAAACAGTAGTCAGTGCTTAAATTAAAGAAAGGTCAGAAATGTCAAATGGACATAATAAACAGTTATACTATGTCTTCAAGGAGAGTTTAATTGTCTATGATCTGTCAGTACAGTAACCGTGTCTGTAGTGCTAGTATTAGTATAGAACTAATAATAAATAAAATATAAAATTTAGTTTTAGAATTTACATAGCTGTCCTTGGTCTTTTCAATTATCTTCTTCATGTTGAATTGTTGTGTATGTTATTATATTATCTCTTATACTTATACATATATTTTGCTTCTGGTGTGTCCTGCTTCCTTTTCACAACCCCCCTCCCCCCCTCTCCCACTGCATACTCTTAAATTATTTTTTTCCTAGCACTTGGACCCATCAATTATTTTCTCAAAATATCAGGACCAGGCATTAAAAAACTGCACCTGTTTAAGCCCTATTATAACATATTCAAATGAATAAGAAGAGGAAAATACTTTACACACTGACACATAATTAATAGTCAGTATAATCTGGTCTAGGTCTAGGTTGACTTAGTCTGACTCTCTTACATTACTCTTTAGTCTTTAGATTTAGATTCTTGTATTGTACTTGTACTTGTAGTCTTCAGCTGTTAGTTGTGTTAGTCTTAGTCATTACTCAATGACTCAATGCTACTTAATTAATTTGCTGGGTGAGTTTCCAGTCTTGCTGAGTGAGTTTCCAGTCAGCTGACTAATAAAGTAATAAAGTTTCTAACAAAATTATCTTATTTATTTAGTTAAGTAAACTTACGACATTGGATTGGCCCAAAAAAGGACTAGACTAGAATGTCTAGATACCCTAGCCCTAGCCTACCAGTGACCAGCGGCCTACCCTCACTAGTTAGTAGTACTCCATGTTTCACTCTCACTCTCTTACTAAGTAAGAGAGTGAGAGTGAAACATGGAGAAGTACGTCAATTTTGACAGTTAATTATGGCCTATAATGCCCTATAAAAATTAGATCAGAATCATGTTAATAATGTATGATAAATAATTGTATTAAATAAAAATTATAAATGATAAAAATTACAAATGTTTTGAATGTAACCAAATTTAACTGTCGTCGTTAATCGTTAATGATGTCATTGTCGAGTAGGCCTATTTAAAGTCTAAACTGACCGTAGCTAAAACTTAGAATGACAGGTATAACTTGGTAGCACTTACTATTGAGTTTATTATTTTTAAAAATTAAGAAAATAATCAATACTTATGCTTGTGGTTCGATTTCTAGGTAAGGGTGTGCATTCCAGTATTAATGGGGCATCCCTGGAACCGTCCATTTTGAAATCCAAATGAAAACAAACATTGACCTTTAAGTTTTAAATGCCACTTCCGTATAGTTCCTTCACGACCAAATGGTGTAATAAAATTAAGACATTCGTTTGTCAATTTAGTTTTAACATCTTTTTAATAAACTTGTGACATATTTTAATTTAAATAATATAACATTCTTTAATTTTGGCAAAACGTCTGATCATTATTTTTATGATTAATCGAAATTATTTAAATTTTGAAAGACCTATTTGTTGCCAGTGCAGTAATGTTATGTATCAATGAGAATAAAACACTTATGAGACACTATATGTTAGTGGAATTTAAACTGGATCAGCTGAAATTAATATCAATCGTGTGACTGCTTCAAATATATAATTATAAGAAATAATGTCATGGTCTGTAGTTTGAATGTTAAGTGTTCAGTTTAAATAGTTTATATATTCTTTAACAGTACGTAACAATCATACTCACTCATTACATTACGATTACATCAAAACAATATGTCAACGCAAATTTTAACAGTAACAACTGAGGCCACAATGGAGCCCACCTTGCACATGAAGCTGACTCCACTTCCTCCAACAAACAAGAAAACCAACACATCCATTCGTTTACGAAATATTAAATTAGATCCCACTCGTGCCTTGGAGCCTGCACGTAAAAAACTTTCAGCGATTGAGTCTCAGCGCATTATGGCCGTATTCGAGGATACTATACGAAGGGTGGAGTTGGTCAATGCCTTCCCATATGTGATAGAAAACATAGATCGGTTTAGATTTTCTTTAGGTAATCAGTTGGCAGATCTCTTTATTCAACATGGCAGGATTCAAAGTAGTTATAAAGAAATCCGAGATCAACTTGATCAGCTGCTGCAAAAGAGAGCAAAGCAAAGGGCAAAGATCGAGCTACAAAATATTGCTTTAAAAGAAGAGGAGGATGCCAATAAAAACAATGATTTGTTTGAGAATTATGATGACGAGAGTGATTACAAAGAAGAAGATAATCATATGGTAAATGAGGACCAAGAAAATGAGAAAATGGGTTTTAACACCAATTCTAGTAGACAGTCTAGTGCCAAAAGTTCATCATATATGGAAAGAGGTTCTGGTTTCAATCGACCAGACTCCTCTCAAGGTGTCTCAAGGAATATTCACAGTATGGTTAGGGAAGAGGGTGAAGAGGAAGAAAGAGCATCATCAGCTAAAAGTTTAGTAGGCCTATCTGATTTTGAACCTCGTATAGAAGAGGCCATGAGGAACCTAGGTCTAGTAGCTCAACAGGTCAGTGTTAATATTATGTAATCTTAATATTTTTATTTAGCCCTATATTATGTTTATTTATTAATTATATTGAAAATGTTTTCAATTTGCATGTATTCTAGTTACAAATGATATTTTTTACCCCAAAAAATACATTTAAATAAAAAACTATTTCAAAATCTGCAGTTTAATGTATTTTTCTTTAAGCTTAAGTAAGAGCCATGAAAAAAACTGAGAGTGAAAGGTTTCAATTTGAAAAAAAAAAGTGTGCCCAGACTGAATATAAAAAAAATAATAATCCTATTAATTTTCTGCAGGTTAGTCATTCTTGTAAAAATATTCTCCGCCTCTTCATGGCCAACCCAGCAGCCATGAAAGTAGTATTAGAGGCTTATCCTGGTGATGAGAGCCCCCAGAGCATTGTAACCAACATGCAAGAGTTGCGTGAGATTCTAATGCACAAACTTTTGACAAACCCAGAGGAGGAAAAAGAAAGAGCAGCCTACTTGGATGAAATCTCAAAAAGGGAACGTCACAATGCAGCTCTCATTGAAAAACTGGAGAAAGATTTAAAAACTGCCATTGATGAAAAAGATGAAGAGGTTTGTAATTGGATTTTTTTATGTTGGTGTTTTTTTCTTGTTAAAACACCATCAAAAGTTATGTTCATTCAATTTGATTTATGTAGCATTATCTCTACAATCCAGTTTGGTTTGAATTAAACGTTAAAATTTTAATTTTCAGAATCTGCGACTACATATAGCTAAAATAAATGTCCCATTACAAAATAATTGCATTTTAGATAATTCTTTTTTTGAAATTAAAATATGCAATTTAATGGATCTTTGTTGATATATTTTCTGTGGTAAAAAAAAATAACTATCTCCATGAATGAAACTGTAAATGATAATATCAGTTTTTAGATTTGAATAGCACTGCTGTTTATAACCAGTTTTAGGTGACGTAACAGAGTCCCAGCACTATGCTATATAATGAAAAATGCTAAAAAAATGATGAGATGGAGTAATTAAAAGCTTCTCTCCATGAGAATAGTATAATAAGCTTGTAATTGGGTAGACCTGCTCTTTTGTTAAAGTGTGACAAAAGCTTATTCAGTTGTGGGACAAAATTATTTCTTTGAAAAAAAATGTAACTACTAAGTTATATAATTAGTAACATATTTATGAAATGTGTTATAAATTATTACTTGATAGATTTGTATTGAATAATTCTTTAATGTAATTCAATTTTTTTTAATTTAACTTGACAGATTCGAAAGAACAATGATATTATTAAAAGACTCCAGACAGATCTTCATACTATTGAAAAAGTTTCAGAAGAAAACAATAGGCGCACACGTTTGGAAGCAGAAAAAAATGAGATGGCAGATGCTAAAAATAGCCAACAAAAAAGCCAAAAGCTCCAATCTGAAATAAATGCCTTACAATCTGCATTAAACAACTTCATCACAGAACACAGGGAATTGGAGGCTGATCTTAGAGCTGTAAGTGTTTCTCATTTCATATGCCCTGGTGTCTGTCTTTACGTGGTTCTGTGAAGTTTTTTTGGTTAAAAAATTTTAAGAAGTTCTGTGCATTTTAGTGAAATAATTGAAACTAAATTCTTGTTAACTGTTTTTCAGAAAAAATATAAAGTAGAAAATGAAGTTGACAACTGGATTCAGAAATATGACCAAGATCTGGGTGAAAGACAGGTAAATCATAAAACATCTTATTTCAAATTACAACCATACCAAATGTGAGTGCTGCATAAAACATTTTTTTGAAGAATTTGAGACATCCCTTCACAGTTAAGTAATTGGTATTAACTGAAAAACATAGTAAAGGAATTTCTTGATCTCCTTGTTGATCACTTCTATGAAATTTTCATCTGGTTCAAAAAAGAATCACTTCAATAAATTGGTTTAATTATTTTTTTTTCCCCAAAAACTTAGGATGAATATGAAGAAATAGATACAGTCTATACTGAAGAAAAGAAACAGTTACTAGAGCTGGAAGAGAGATTTGCCACTCTTGAGAAAGAATATCTCTCCATCATGGAGGAGAGGAGAGTGGCCAGGAGCAAGCTGGAGAAGGCACAGCGAGAGCTAGAGATGTTGGTCAAGGCAGCTACTACCATCCAGGCCTTCTGGAGATCCTACAAAGTCAGGAAAGCATTAAAAGCCAAATCTAAGAAGAAAGGAGGAAGGAAAGGAGGAAAGAAGAAATAATGAGAAATTGTATTTTCTTGAGTTGTTTATTTAATGTGTGGTTATTTACTTTGAATTTTATGGATATTTATTTCACAATTTTTGGTAGCTTATTTTTTTTCTCTTAATTAAAATCATCTCTGATTTAAGAAAAATAAGAGACTATTTCTTTTAAAATGTCTCTCTATTTAAATTTTTTACTCTAACATTATTTAAAATAATCTTGAAGAAAAGGATTAGACTTCTCATTGTATCCAAATTTGTTTGCAATTGATTATATGTTTTCTCTATAGTTTATAAAAAACAAATGGATAAATGATTTTTTAACATAGATATACTTCTGATCATTGTCTGATCTGAAATTATTATAGCATTGTAATATGGAATATTGTTTTGAAAAATGTATGATTATCTGAGTGATTCAATACCAATGGATATATTTCCCAATAACTGACAAAAGTTAAAAGATCAGTTATTTTATTTTTTATTAAATCCAAAAATAAACTGAGTAGAATTCAGGAAAGTAAGAATCTAATAATATATGCATACACTTCATGTTTGAAATTGTATTATCATGTCAGTTATGTTCTAAAATAAATATGTTATATCTAGTTATATTTTTATTTATAATTTTTAGTTTTATTTTAACTAATTTAATTGTCAGCCTAAGTATTTTTTGTAATCAAATGAAAGTTTGAAATAGACATTGAGTAACACTGATCGTGAGAGTATGTCCTTATGTTTTTGTGAGATTGAATGTTATAGGAATAATTCTTTCTTAAAACTCCTCCAAAATGTACTGTTTTATCGTTGCTCAAAAAGTTGTTTGAAAACTTTATTATCTTATCAACTTTTTAAAAAAAATTATATGGGAAAACTCCTATGTTAATTTTGTTTTTTCTCTTGTTTAGAGGGCAGTTAAAACATTTCAAATTCATTTTTTAAAATATTTTTGTATCTTCAGGTTAGATTTTTTTTTAATATGTCATTAATAATTAGAGAGTTTGTCTGATTTTATAACTAAAATCATTTGAGTTTATGTTGGCATCTTGTGAATTTTATTCTTGGAATAATTGTAAAAGTGTTACTCTAACATTTACTGTTGCCATGAATTGATATGTAAGCCATAATGGTAGAGCTTTGTTTACTATTAAATTGTGCAAGCTGTCAGATTTGTGTAGCATCCAGTGTAAGATTCAGCTTCAATGATGGTGTGGCATAAATAGAAAGAAAAGGAGTATTGAATGTGTCTCATATAAAAATAATATTCTCCTATGTACTCAGATATAACTTTGTTAAGTTGATAAGGGAACTTGCTCTGTTTTTATTTGCATACTGTATTACAATTTGTATACTGCATAAAAGTTATGTACTGATGATATTTGCACTGTGAAATTTATGTACTCTAGTAAAAATGTAAATGCGATATTAAAGGCAACCATTTATTTTATCAAATAAACTGTAAAACGGAAATTTCTCTGCTTGCATACATATTTTATTAAAATATGATTTCTAAGGTCACTTCATGAGTTTAGGGAAAATCCATGTATCCAGTTATAAAACAACAAATAAGTCATGGATATTTAAGGATTAAAACAGAAATATGTTATGGAAACATAAGAGTTAAGTCGCAAATATATTTAGGGATGTCAGAATTAATAAAGCACAATTATTAACAAGGTAGTAAGAGTTAAATCTGAAATATATTCTAGAGATATAAGAGTTTAATCACAAATATGTTAAGAGATTTCAGAATTAAAACACAATTATTAACATAGTGGTAAGCTTTAAATTAGAAAATTTGTTTTTAGAGACATAAGACTTAAATCAAAAACATTTTTTTGTTTGTTAGAATTAAAGAAAAAGTATGAACATTGTTGTAAGAGTTAGAATTCTAAATCAGAAATATGAATGTAGAGATACTAGGTACAGAGTGTTAGAATATATATATGTAGTTACTATCCTAGTGTCTCATTTTTATTTTACTTAGTTCACATGTTTTTAATAATTGTAAAGCGCTTAGAGCTTTAAGGTAAGCGCTATATAAAAATGCCTAAATAAATATATATATATTTTTATTTTTTTTTTTTGCTGGCATCCGTCCGTCACAATGGAGGACGAAATTCACATGGCTTGGGATTATACTTCTAGGGTTACAAGCTGGTTCCCAACAGCAAATCGCCTCTCTCCACGCCGCTGGGTAACCCAAGGGAACATCATTGGATGATACAGCTTGGCACCAGTGACGTCGCAGGAGTTGTCAGAATGTTTCATTGTATCAATGTTATCCGCCTTTCGGGACTCCATCTCCGGGTTTGATTTCAGAGTTTCCTTCTCTTAGATGAGTTGCCGTCCAAGGTTAACGAGTCCCATCTACCCGGGGTGCTGGTGGTCTTTTTGCTTGGCTGGGCTCTTGCTGGAATTGAGCTCCAGAACACCAACTTGAGATTTGCTCAGTTTAGACCACTCGGCTATATATTTATTTATTTATTTAGGCATTTTTATATAGCGCTTATCATAAAGCTCTAAGCGCTTTACAATTATTAAAACATGTAAACTAAGTAAAATAAAAATGAGACACTAGGATAGTAACTACTATTCTATAGAAACAATGAAAATGGCTATAAAACGAGGACACTTTGACACTTCAGGATCAACCCGAAACAGAAAATGAGGTAGGGCAAGGAGGGTGCATCACAGGTCATAGGCGGACCTAAACAGATGAGTTTTAAGGGACTTTTTGAAAATGGACGAGGTTTCACTATGACGTATATGGAAGGGGAGCTGGTTCCAGAACGTGGGCCCATGGAAGCAGAAGGAGCGTTCACCGATGGTCTTAGTTTTAGTTCTTGGGATTGAGAGGGTTCTACTGTCAATGGAAGAACGTAGTTGTCTTGTGGGGATGTAAGGAAGCAACAGATCAGAGAGATAGACAGGAAAGTGAGGGTCAGTGAACGAGTTGAAGCAAAGATTGGAAGACTTGTATTTGATGCGAGAGGATATTGGAAGCCAGTGGAGTTGCCGCATGTGTGGTTGAATGTGGTCATGTTTCTTTAATTTAAAAATGAGTCTGCATGCTGAGTTCTGTGCCTTCTGAAGTTTGTCTATGTGGTGTTGAGGAATGCCTGAGAGAAGAATGTTACAGTAGTCAAATTTTGAAAGAATGAGTGAAGAGACGAGAGTTTTTGTGGCATCAACGGAGAGGAGGTGTCGAATGGTGCTGATTTTTCTAATTTCTAATATATATATATATATATAGGGACATAATTTTCTTAATTATCAAGTTATCAAACTTTAACTAAGCCAAAAATAAATTCAATTTACTAACTTCAAAAAGTTGTGTTGCTAATTTTTTTTGTAAACACTCAATCCTAAAACAATCGCTATTCAACATTTTTGAGTTTATCATAGTGAATGATAAGGACACAAAATGAACTTAATTTGTTCACTAAGCAACTACACTTAACAACTATTCTGAACAACTGCCATCTTTTAGTGAATGATAAAGACACAAAATGAACTTAATTTGTTCACTAAGCAACTACACTTAACAACTATTTTGAACAACTACCATTTTTACCGTTTCAATGCAGTACCAGCTTCGCTGGACAGGTCATCTTGTGAGCTCATCTGACGACCGCTTGCCCTAAAGAATGTATATAGCGAGCTGGAACATGGAAGGCGCTTTGTTGGTGGAGAGGAGAAACGTTTTAAGGACAACTTGAAAGCCTCACTGAAATCGTTCATCACGAACCCGGACACAAGAGGGAAGATTAGGGAAAGGTCCGTGCAGCATGAAGCCATCAGAACGGCAGCTGCATAGCAAAAATAATCCAGAAAAGCCCGCGTAAACTGTCCAACTAGCGGATGTTACACGACATCTCTTCCTTGCACCTACTGCACAAGAACATTTCGTACCAGAATTGGTCTAATCAGTCATCTGTGCGCCCACAGAGAGAATCAGAATCCTTAGCCTTATTCCCTATTATTGAAATAGGCTTTATCGATTTCGATAGCAATACCATTTACTCCACTTTAAAAAAAAAGAAGAAAAAAATTACTAAATCTGTTACCAGTCATTTAATGCACTATTGCAAAAACTAATCACATAAGAATCCAGGTTAAAATAATACAACCGTTATGAGTATGTAAAAGCCTAGGAGCTATCTTTTTTTTAAAAAATATGTCACGTGTCAAAATCTCAAACTCAAAACTTTTTCACATCGAATACCTTGCTAAGAAGCCTCTAAAACAAATTTCTTAAAACCGGAAGTCGGTCCATTCATACTATACTATTTTATATTTCTGGATAATGGAAACTTTTTTTCTCTCTCACAATGGCTGACGACAACAAATGAATTAGATGTAATTTTGGGGGAATCTACACAGCACGTCATGTGTGATTTCAAAAGTGTTGGTAATTTGCAAAAGTGTGCTTCTTGCTTCATGAAAATTTCATTAACTCTGCATGAAGCAACAAACGGAGAAAAGGCATTAACATGTTCCTGTGTCCACTGCCCGTCTCAGCTACCACACACGTACATTAAGTGCTGATATTCTATATGCGATGTAACAGTAGGTCGAACAGTACAACCATATTATTGACGTTTAATTCTGTGTAGACTATCACAAGATTTTTATAAAACAATATGCCTACATCCTCCACTACAAGTGACAATCAAAGCAGCGTGGCCTCAAGGATCTCTTATGCTGACAAGTATATTTATAGAATTCCCAGAAAAGCAGCCTCAAAAAAACTTTCTCCACTCGGCGATTCAGCGCCCCAGAGTAAATTGCTCAAGACGCTAGACGCCACCCGCATTCAGGCCACCTTCTTAAGCAGTATCAAGAGAACAGAGGTGGCGATCACGATGCCACTGATTTTCGAAAATCTGTGCAACCTCCGGTTTTACTTCGGTATGGACCTCACCAACGCCATCGAGCGCCACAGCCGGGTGGTGGCGTGCTTTCAGGAATGTCGTGATAAACTTGACCATCTCGTGAGACAAAGGGCGAAGCTTGTTGATCACATCCGGGCCATCAAGGCCACAAACCTCAAACGTTCGTCCACGGTGGACGAGGACGCCAAACGTTTGAACGGGAGCCTTTACGATTTGTTCAACGATTTCTTGGGAGACGGCCAAACCGAGGAGGGCAACGAAGAGGAAGGGGAAGAGGCGACGGGGCCGGAGGAGGAACGAGAGACGCGGGCGCCGAGCGATGCCGGGAAAGAGCTGGAGACCATACAGGAGAAGGTGGATCACGTGGACGACGACACGACCACCCAGAGCGAGAAGTCGACCGTGTCAACGGCCCACACGGAAGATTTCCATTCTGTGAGCCAGAGAATGTCGGACACCATGTCCACCAAGGGTTCTTCCCAGTTCAGTCGCAAGAGCACCGAGGTGCCGCAGAAACGCAACACCGTGATCTCCTCAGAGACGTTCTCCCGACTCTCTGTCGCCGAGCTGGACGCGATGGAGGGCAATCTACAGAATCAGGTCAACGAAACTATCCGACAGCTCGCCTCCATTGCTTACTCTGTAAGTTGTGTCCTTGCTTTGTTTCATGGGCGTATAGGGATGTTCGGTGGGGGTACACCAGTGGGTGCTTTAGTTTTGTATTGGCATCTAAATCTTATTCTGTATAGTGGCGTTTTCAATGGGGGCGTCTAAGAAAGCTCAAACGGATTCATGTTTTCCAGTCCAGACTTAAATCCCATATTCACAGATGGATTTGTAGGAATGAAGTCTTCCCTTCGTGTTGTGGACAATTCTTGTGTCTTATTTTGTAAATTTTCGTTTTGACGAGATCCTACTTCACTGGGCGGACCATTCTAAAGGTTGTTTTAAGTTACATCAACTAAATTAGCAACATTTCTGCATAACCCTCTTGTGCAAGGAAATAATTGTTATAAGTATAATACCTCCCATGGTTTTTTTTAAAGAGGGGGGGGGGGGCGGGGCAGGGGGCATTTAAGAAAGCTCAAACTGATTCATGTTATCCAGAGTTAACTCCCATGTTCAGATGGATTCTTAGGAATGGAGTCTTCCATAAGTATAATACCTCCCATGGTTTTTTTTAAAGAGGGGGGGGGGGGCGGGGCAGGGGGCATTTAAGAAAGCTCAAACTGATTCATGTTATCCAGAGTTAACTCCCATGTTCAGATGGATTCGTAGGAATGGAGTCTTCCCTTCTTTGTGAAAATCTTCATGCGAAACTAAACCGGATTTCCATTCCCTGCAACATTATACGTTTGTGTCATTTGTTGTCTTCTTTTCAATGTGAGGTCTTTCATTTCCGGTTATGAAAAGCCCAACTTGTGGTGTTTCTTTCCTTTAAGGTGAGCAATTCATTCAACAACATCCTACGGCTCTATTTTGAGAACCCCTCGGCCCAGAAAGGGGTGGACGTGTTCCATCTGCACAGAGGCGGCACCTGCCACAAGCTGCTGCGATTGATGAAGGAACTGGGGGGCGTCATCAAGGCTCGACTGCTGATCACACCAGAAGAAGAGAAGCGAAACATGGAGTACCTAGAGAGCATCCTCAAAAGGGAGACCAACTCGGTGAAGTACATCGAGATGTTGGAGAATGAATTGAAAGAGGCCAAAAAGGCGATGGAACAAGAGGTATGCCACAGTAAACCGAAGTGCTATCGTGTAGTAAGAGTTCTAAGGCAATATCTATGTGAAATAGAGTCGTAGTACATTTGATTCCGCAGTGAAAGTAATGAAAAACTCGAGTACACGTGTTTAGGCCAGAAGTAGAAATTCAAGATCATATGATTGAAACGCTGCAAGTGAGTTGTGGAAAGGTGGATACATGAAATAAGACATCATCCACTAGGTGTTATTCTTTCTTTTTATGTTAAAATCGTTTGAGTAAGAGTTACTCATTGGAGACAGGAAGTAGAGAATTGAAAATATAGTTTGACGTCATAATGAATTAGATCAGGGGTCTCCAAACTACGGCCCGCGGGCCGCATGCGGCCCACGAGGCTCTCTCATGCGGCCCGCGGAGACCTTTAGTCAACTGAATAAAAAATTGCGCAAATGTACGTGTATCCTGACAAGATCAGACGCCGCTTACGTAGACGTTATGTTTTTACCGAATTAAAATAGAGGCTCGCAGTAGTGCGTCATGTTTTCTAACCGATCATTACTTTGCAAAACCTTATTCGATGCTTATTTTTTCTACTTTCTTTCACAGTCAATGAAATGACATGATATAACGCCATTTAGTGGCGGAGCTTTGCACGCCGTGTTGCAGACATGGGTGAAAACATTGTGACTTAAATATCGAAAAAATGCAAGCAAGTTTCACCAATTTTTATTTACAATGGATGAATCGCTTGACAGCTGTTCCACCTCTCAACTGCTTGTGTTCGTTAGGAGTGTTGTTGAAGACATGAACAGAACACAAAATCTATACACCTCTTAAAGAGCCCCCCCTCCCCCCGAGATAATGCTGAAAGAAACCCTGCTCTCGAGTGTGCAGTCGGCCCGCGAACTACTGTTTGATAGTTAATGCGGCCCTCGGGCTGAAAAGTTTGGAGACCCCTGAATGAGATCGATCATTTTATGAGTTATGCCTACTTACACATCTTTGAAGCGAGTGGTTTTTAAAAATTATTCTTATAATTTTTTTTTTTTTTTTTCCTTTAGTTTTTGAAGAAGACTAAAATAATCGAAAACATCAAAATGGACATTAACCAGATCGAGGCATTTTCCAGCGAGACAGTGCGCAGAACCCTCGGCATAGCTGAGAAGACAGAGTTCACCTGCTGCAAGAACAGTGAGCAGAGGACCAAGTTGGTCAACATAGACATCAAGGTCCTGGAGGACAGGCTCAACGACTACTGCTCTCAGAACAGGGAGGAGGAGTCTCGCCTCCGTCAGGTAAGAGGATTAACGGGTAAGCATTGAGAAATAAACGATTATATTTATATTTTTTGAGGGGATGTGTTTAAATATCTTCAGATAAAGTACGCATTCTAGTTGAGACTAGAACTAATTTTCTTTTATTAAAAAAAAATAATAAATCATTTATTCTTTCAAAACATCTCAAAAACAAGTTCAGATTTTAATGTTATATGAGAAATTGTGAACCCCCCCCCCCCTTGTTTTAGGAGTAGATTTATAAGTAACACTCTAGACATACACTTCTGTTTGGGAATCGACTTGCATCAAAGTAACACACTACGACTGCACGTGTGTGGGCAAACTCTCCATGTCATCATGTCTCTCCTTGTCATCATGTCTCTCCTTGTCATCATGTCTCTCCTTGTCATCATGTCTCTCCTTGTCATCATGTCTCTCCTTGTCATCATGTCTCTCATTGTCATCATGTCTCTCCTTGTCATCATGTCTCTCATTGTCATCATGTCTCCTTGTCAGCATGTCTCTCCTTGTCATCATGTCTCTCCTTGTCATCATGTCTCTCCTTGTCATCATGTCTTTCCATGTCATCTTGTCTCTCCTTGTCATCATGTCTCTCCTTGTCATCATGCCTCTCCTTGTCATCATGTCTCTCCTTGTCAGCATGTCTCTCCTTGTCATCATGTCTCTCCTTGTCATCATGTCTCTCCTTGTCATCATGTCTCTCCTTGTCATCATGTCTCTCCTTGTCATCATGTCTCTCCTTGTCATCATGTCTCTCCTTGTCATCCATGTCTCTCCTTGTCATCATGTCTCTCCTTGTCATCATGTCTCTCCTTGTCATCATGTCTCTCCTTGTCATCATGTCTCTCCTTGTCATCATGTCTCTCCTTGTCATCATGTCTCTCCTTGTCATCATGTCTCTCCTTGTCAGCATGTCGCGCATTGTCATCATGTCTCTCCTTGTCAGCATGTCTCTCCTTGTCAGCATGTCTCTCCTTGTCATCATGTCTCTCCTTGTCATCATGTCTCTCCTTGTCAGCATGTCTCTCCTTGTCATCATGTCTCTCCTTGTCATCATGTCTCTCCTTGTCATCATGTCTTTCCTTGTCATCATGTCTCTCCTTGTCATCATGTCTCTCCTTGTCATCATGTCTCTCCTTGTCATCATGTCTCTCCTTGTCATCATGTCTTTCCTTGTCATCATGTCTCTCCTTGTCATCATGTCTCTCCTTGTCATCATGTCTCTCATTGTCATCATGTCTCTCCTTGTCATCATGTCTTTCCTTGTCATCATGTCTCTCCTTGTCATCATGTCTCTCCTTGTCATCATGTCTCTCCTTGTCATCATGTCTTTCCTTGTCATCATGTCTCTCCTTGTCATCATGTCTCTCCTTGTCATCATGTCTCTCATTGTCATCATGTCTCTCCTTGTCATCATGTCTTTCCTTGTCATCATGTCTCTCCTTGTCATCATGTCTCTCCTTGTCATCATGTCTCTCCTTGTCATCATGTCTTTCCTTGTCATCATGTCTCTCCTTGTCATCATGTCTCTCCTTGTCATCATGTCTCTCATTGTCATCATGTCTCTCCTTGTCAGCATGTCTCTCCTTGTCATCATGTCTCTCTTTGTCATCATGTCACTCTCGCCCTCATCTCGACCTTTCTCTTCTTGTTCACAGGAGAAGCATAAGTTCGAGTTTGAGATCGAGTCCTGGGTCAAGCGTTATGATACAGATATGAACGACAAAATGGTAGGCACGACAAAATAACAAGTTCAGTGAGTTACTTGTGATGCCATCAAATGATACAGATATGAACGACACATTGGTAGATACGACTAAATAACAAGTTCAGTGAGTTACTTGTGATGCCATCAAATGATACAGATATGAACGACACATTGGTAGATACGACTAAATAACAAGTTCAGTGAGTTACTTGTTGATTGAATCAAATGATACAGATATGAACGACACAATGGTAGGTACGACTAAATAACAAGTTCATTGAGTTACTTGTTGATTGCATCAAATGATACAGATATGAACGACACAATGGTAGGTACGACTAAATAACAAGTTCATTGAGTTACTTGTTGATTGCATCAAATGATACAGATATGAACGACACAATGGTAGGTACGACTAAATAACAAGTTCATTGAGTTACTTGTTGATTGCATCAAATGTGCTCTAGTTTACTTTTCATAGTAGTTGAAACAGATTCAATACAAACAAAGCAGCCCACCAATCCCAGAACAAAAAAATTAGTTAAAACACTACCACCGAGTCATTACTATTGTGAGTTTGTCACTAACATGGTTTGACAGGATCTATTTGTCAATAACATTGTTTGATAGGATGAGTGTGTCACTAACATGGTTTAAGATAAGCTTGTCACTGAAGTTGATTGAAATGATAAGTACGTCACTGACTTTGTTTGGTAGGATGAGTTCCAACGTCTCGAGATCACCTACGAAGATGAGAGGAAACTCCTGTCTGAGATGGAGGACAGGTTCGCTGAGCTGGAGGCGGAGTACAACAACCTCATGCAGGAGCGACTTGTGGCGCGCAGGAGACAGGAATGGGCGGAGCGGGACAAGAAGGCCTTGATCAAGTACATCACCGTCATCCAGTCCTTCTGGAGGGGTTACACCGTCAGGAAGAACATCAAGAAGGATGAGAAGAGGCGAATCAAGGAGGAGAAAAGGAAAGAGAAGGAGCTGAAAGAGCAGGAGAGAAAGGCCAAACTGGCCGCAGGAAAGGAATAGCAATGGTGGAGTCAAGGGGAGCAACTCTAGCTGAGGGGGAGTAGCTCTGTTTAAGGGAAGTAACTCTGTTTAAGGCTAGTGACAATTTTAGACTGAACTGACTAGTAGAATACATTTTTGGAGGATAATTCATAGAAACAGTATATTTTTTAAAAAAATATATCTATTTGCTGTTAAACCTTGGTGTTAAAGACGAGCCAGGAAAGCCTTTGACCATAAACTTAAGACAAGACAATGACATATGTATAAGACTATCAGACAAGATACATAAAGGGATAAAGGTCTCTAAGACAGAAAGTGTGGTACAATAAAAATAAAGTTGTTAAGTGACGTCACGATGGGGAAATGTTCCAAGTGACGTCACACACTAAAATGTCTGACAGCTTACCATTTAAAAAGTAATTTAGTTTACAGGAAATATATGAATAATTTCAAGACAGATGTTTGACTCACATCCCTTTGTATGTGTCAGTAATTGACAGTAATTGTTTTCGGATCAGTGGCTTAGCCTTGCGTCGTGGCCTTATCATTGTATTATCTTCACCACTGGCTGGCGTTTAGTGGTATACTGCCTTGAGGCAAGAAATGAAGTGGCATACGACAATGACACCCCACAGTGTTTCGAGCAACGAATGAGCTGTGAGTGCTGGTAGCGAAGCAATACCTTAATACAGTTGTCATACTTTTAGACAGGACTCGAATCAAGTGTTAAAATACGTCATATGCAAGTGACCCCTGAATTAACATTGAACGATCCTTAAGCGATCTATGGTCGCCTCTACGAATTTTCACCATGTTATCATTGTGAATTTTCATAATTTTTTAACATTACGATTTAAGTCTTTGAGTTGTCATTATTTCAACAATTTGCTATAACATTATTTCTCATATGACAATTTTAATGACATGTCGTAATATTATTTTTAATTTTAAAAAATGGCTTATTATTTTAACACTATTTCTTTTCATATGTCCAAATAAGATAAATATTTTTTTAAAAATTATTTGTTTTAAAGTTTGACAAATGAAAATGTCTTAGATTTTTCTCATACAATTTTTTTTTTTTTTTTGTGGGGGAAAAAAAGTGTGTGGGGGTATATCGATAATAATTGTCTTAAAAGACAAGAACATCTCCATTTTGATATATAAAACATGCCATTTTTTTAAAAATTTTTTTTTTTAAATTTTTATAAATGAAAATTTCTTAGATTTTTTTTATATAATTTTTTTTTTTTTTTTTGTGGGGGAAAAAAAGTGTGTGGGGGTATATCGATAATAATTGTCTTAAAAGACAAGAACATCTCCATTTTGATATATAAAACATGCCATCCATTGTGATGGTCGTTTCATTTTATATTTACAATGAATTGCTACGTGTGAGTGATTTTACGTCACCATCAACCGGGCCGTGTCTTGTTGGTTGTTTCCCCCGTCAGTAAAGACTTCGACAACGTTGTGTGTAGTTTAACGTGACACGATCATGTCACGGTAATTGGTCACACATCATATCTTGTGTTCATGTCTCAACTAGACATGACGTATGGGTGATAGTCTCGTTTGTTGCTCGTATGTCATGTCCCACGAGATGTTGATGGGTATCGAGTCTACATGTTTTTTACTTCATTACGCCACGAGATGTGTTTCTTAAAACGTCTAAGACAGACTGTGTGTTTGTGTCCATGACTTAGACTTAGACCTACAACTTGACTTTATTAAACATTTGACAAAAAAACAACACTCGCCTTTTTGTTGTTGCTTTTTTTTTCCATATCTGTTTTATTTATTTAAATTGTGTATTTCTTGTGTGGCTGAGCCCGGTTGCCTACCCGGGTACCCGGAAATGCCGAGTATTACATTCCCGATTAATACCCGGATCGGACAATGAAATGGGGTGGGGCCGTGTGTTTCAAGAACATTAAATTTGTAGCTTATATTTTAAATAAAACTATTTTTTAACCATTTTATTTTGTTGATGAATTCAATAATAATACTATATATGGCATCCTTCCGTGATCGTGAGACGATGAAGTAACTATTGACACTTCATCAAATGGAATACGGCCTTCCTCCATTCTCCTTACATGACCTAACCAGCGTAGGCGCCTCCTCTTGCTAAGAACGGAGAATATGCTACACATTTGTGCACGTTCCAAGACATCTGTGTTAGGCACTGCGTCCTGCCATCGAATGCGTAAAATGCGACGCAGACATCTTTGATGGAAGCTGTTGACTTTCCGCTCATGACTGGCATATGTGGTCCACACTTCACTGCCATATATGGGGCACACTTCACTGTCATATATGGGGCGTACTAAGCACACATGCGTAATAGACGCTTAGTTTTATACTATCGGTTAGTTTCAGATTATTCCACACCCCCTTATTCAGTTTAGCCATGGTTGCTGCTGCTTCTGCGATCCTGATGTTTATCTCTTCACAAACAGAGAGAGAACTAAAAATATTGGATCCAATGTATGTGAAATGCTCAACAATCGAGTGTTAAGAAACTAAATGTAAGCTAAATGTAACAGAAATGTACTAAAAAATAATAATGTACTTGTTTCGAATTTCAATCTGCAATCCGATAATATGTAGAGAAAGTCTTGCTGAGATGACACCTCGGTCTGGTAGACTTATATATGCGTTTTTATATGTGTCCATTTAATTTTTACAGTTTTAGCACTACTTACGCGGGCGCGATGACATTTTAAGAAATGATAGACATGTAAATGAAATCAGATTCAAGTGAGACTTTATCTGGTGAGACTAAACTAAATGTCATGACATCAGTGAAAGCACTTCAACTAAATGTCATGACATCAGGGAAGCACCTCAACTAAATGTCATGACATCAGGGAAGCACCTCAACTAAATGTCATGACATCAGTGAAGCACCTCAACTAAATCATAAATGTCATGAAATCAGTGAAGCAAGCACCTCAACTAAATGTCATGACATCAATAAAGCACTTCAACTAAATTTCTTGACATCAATGAAGCACCTCAAATAAATGTCATGACATCAGTGAAGCACCTCAACTAAACGTAATGACATCATTGAAGCACCTCAACTAAATCATAAATGTCATTTTAAGTTCAAGATAAATTTGATTGTACATTATTTTTACTACTGTGTCATTTTTTTTTTGTTGACTTAATCGGAGTTGAATTCATGAATGGACTACGCCTATCTAGATCGAAACTCACATAGAATAGACGTCGAGAGAATAACTTTGGAAGAAATGAAGAGATTACGAGAGCTACCAGATCATAGATTTGGAATGTAATTAATACCATCTCTTTTAATCTTTAGTTGATGTAAATGAGAGTACTAAAATATTTTTACACTTAAAATAAGACAATTAACAATACATAACATATGATATTGCTAAAGTTTGAGATATCAGATGGTTTTGATCCAATGAAGTTAATACTGCCCAACATTGTAAAATACATTAATTGTAATACCCGGTACCTAATATGGCCTTGTAAATAAACCAATAATATGGTAAGAAAATGTAAACAAGGGAAAGATTATTGAGATTTTTACAATAAGAGTGTCTTGAAAAATGAAGCTCAAGATGGTCACCCCATTGTTGACAGGACACCCGGCTTGTGTACAGAGCTTAAGCTATTCACCCCATTGTTGACAGGACACCCGGCTTGTGTACAGAGCTTAAGCTATTCACCCCATTGTTGACAGGACACCCGGCTTGTGTACAGAGCTTAAGCTATTCACCCCATTGTTGACAGGACACCCGGCTTGTGTACAGAGCTCAAGCTATTCACCCCATTGTTGACAGGACACCCGGCTTGTGTACAGAGCTCAAGCTATTCACCCCATTGTTGACAGGACACCCGGCTTGTGTACAGAGCTCAAGCTATTCACCCCATTATTGACAAGACACACTGCTTGTGTTTGTAGTTTCCTTATAACAGACAAAACTATACACGAAGTCTTAAGTTACAATACAAGCTTCTACGTAAACTGTTGCATCCAAGTCAAACTTGGTAAACATATATTTCATAATCACATCTAAAAAATTGATGAATTATAATATCAACAACTTTTTGTGCAATTTAATTAATTTTTTGAACACTTAACCTTGAGAATTTTCAACCGATCTGAAATGGATAATTTTTTAAAAATTTCTTTGTACCACCTAAAAGACTCAGTGCTGTAAATTTATTTAAAGATTAATTCTTTTGGCGCCGGACCCCATAGTGAACATTCTAGAAGGCAACATCTTTGTAAATTAATTCCATTTTATTGGGATAATTATGAAACATGTACTTGAATATTTACCCGTAGTATTTTATTCTGCCCCTATATTAGGGCTTTTTTTTTAGAATGGTGCCCCTATAGTAGGGCTTCTTTTAGAATGGTGCCCCTATATTAGGGCTTCTTTTAGAATGATGATCCGATTCATTATTATTGATAATCATTGATAGCTTTGACATGGGTCAATAGATTTTTTTAAGCCAAACATCTTCGAAAGGTTTGTTTGACTTTAAACCGTGATCTCTTGAATATCAAAGAAACAGGATGGCCCCACAATAAACTGTTTACAAACTGCAGTATAAGTCTGCAATGGCATAGGTGAACATTTAAAATTTTTAATTGGTCATTTAGCAAAATGTTATGACAGGGCCATACATTGAATTGGCAATTTAGTAAAGTGTTATGACGGGCCATACATTGAATTGGCAATTTAGTAAAGTGTTATGACAGGGCCATACATTGAATTGGCAATTTAGTAAAGTGTTATGACAGGACCATACATTGAATTGGTAATTTAGCAAAATGTTATGAAAGGGCCATACATTGAATTGGTAATTTAGCAAAGTGTTATGACGGGGCTATACATTGAATTGGCAATTTAGTAAAGTGTTATGACAGGACCATACATTGAATTGGTAATTTAGTAAAGTGTTATGACGGGGCTATACATTGAATTGGCAATTTAGTAAAGTGTTATGACAGGACCATACATTGAATTGGTAATTTAGAAAAATGTTATGACAGGACCATACATTGAATTGGTAATTTAGCAAAGTGTTATGACGGGACCATACATTGAATTGGTAATTTAGCAAAGTGTTATGACAGGGCAATACATTTAA